ATAAACTTCTACCCTGTTATAGTACCATATTAATTATTAAACTGTTATTATAGCCCACAGATTTCGATTTAGCTTATCTGTTTTCTTATCTCCATGCAACCCAACCCTCTAGTTTCTTATCAGCATGTTTTTGTATCCCAAACTCATGTGTAATTTTACAGCTGTTTTAATGATTAACTTTGAAGAAATGAGGCTTAAGTCGAATAGTTGTTTGAAACTAAAACTCAACTCCAATTAAACTCTCCAGCTGCTTCAGCTTTGTTCCCTTTTTGGGGTTACTTTCTGAAAAATACGTTTCAATTTTAATCATGCTTGGATTCGGCAGGTCCCTCCTTCTGCCAAGTTTTCTGCTTTTTGGCGAGTTTCAGACGAACGATTCATGAACACGCAACTCCAGTCAAAAAGCTGGCGTTGCCGTGTGCAAAAACTATTAAAACAGGTGGCCAATACACTCACCCAAAAATATATACGTATTTTTCCATTACGAAAACATGCAACTGGTTGACTAATTTCCTACCCAGTTTTCTTATCCATCACGCCCCATCTTTCGAGGAAACTCTCCCTTTCTCCGACTTTAATTTGATTAGATTTGATGGGCCGGCGATAAAAAATAGTTCTATATGGTAATAAAATTTGTGTTTGCCTCGGGCGAACATGAATATTTCAAAACTAAATAATCACGCTTTTCGAGGCTGTGTTTTTTATGGTTTTTTAATTTTATTATTTGCCTGGTAAATAAATGATGCGTGTTTTATAGCTCTGCTGATGGATGAGGATGCCAAAGGCGTAGAAAGCTCCGGCGATAAAGGGTTAAGGCCAGCCAAAACTTGAAATTTATGTTTGCGTAAAGGAAAACGAAAATAAATAGGTTTTAATTTCAGATAGTTATGAGTGCAAATCAATATTTGTTTTATATTAATGCTAAGCTCTAATAGTTTTTATGTTTAATTACTTTCCTTTGGCCTGGAGCTTTTTAATTAGTTTAAGCTTCATCCGCTTTGGACATTCCATTATTCAACGTTTAATTAGTTACAAATGCTTTTTAATTAAACACAGACTTTGCATCTCCCTCTATTGCATATTAATAAGCCGCAAAATAAATAAAATTTGTATAAAGTTTTGTTTGCCCAACAAATTTAATATTGATAAAAGCTTGAACTCAGTTTTTTAGTCGGGTTCAGTTAGATCATGAACTATGGAAAAACTGTGAATTTACCTATTTTTTTTAATTTCCCTCACCAGTCACGTGACTGCGTTTTTTCGCCGTCATCTTTTACCTATTTTTGGCCCACAATTTTTTTTTTACTAGCTGGAGAGTAGTGGCAAAAAATTCTCGCGTCATTTATTAGCCATTTAATCATCGAGCATTCTTGGACAAGCAGTTCCGTCAGCTGTCGCTAATGCATTTTACTCCAATCTCTTCTATTTTTAGGGATTTTTTATGCATTCTCCAAAAGAGCTAAACTCTCGCAATTAGTCAGCTGCTTGTCGCCGAAAAGTGTCAAAATATTTTTGCTAGCAACAGCTCTGCGTTTCCCTATTTTGTTAGCCGTTTTGTAATTTTTCTCATCATTCTATTTTCCCCTGCATTGAATCAGAGAATGTGTGCAAGTTGGCTAAAAGCCAGGAGATGGAGAGCAAGCGGAAAGGATACTTGCCTACAAATGTGTTTACCACTTTATAATCGTTACTATAACTTATTACTAAGATTTCGGTTAACAATCGTTAAACAAGTTTTTAAACTCCATAAACAAAATATAACAAAAAAAGTTAAATTTATCTTTTATATGCATTTAGTTTCAATTTATTTAATTGCATAAATGTTTCTATTATTTTGCACACATTTGTGGGTGAGCTGCCGAGTGTCGTGGCCAAAATGTCACGTATACGTCGTGTGGCCTGCCACGAAATCTGCTTCGCCTCTTTCACGATTTTCACGCCTGTCTCGCGCTTTTCCACTTTTCCTCGCCGGCTGCTTCTCCTTTCGCCTTTGTTTTGCTCGGCGGAAGGTAATTACGTCATTAACAAGAAATTTGGAAAGTGCTCGTCATATCGTTTGGCTTGTGTCAACTGTTTGGGTGCCGTTTTCTTCGAGGGGGTAATTGCCGGCCTGCTTTTGTGGCTAATAAATACGTTTCGAAAGGGGCACTTTGCTCGGCACCTGTTAGAGGATAAAAACGATCCGAAAATTTGCACAGTTTGTAAACTACTAAGTTGTATAAATTGGGTTAATCTGACTAGAAGCATAAACATATATTTTCCAAGAACGGAATTCCGGGAGAGAGATTTTTGGTAAACATATACAATACGTACATTACGTTTTGCTTACCGAGAATAAGATAGGAGTTTAATTCAGAGAACTATCATAAATTTTTTGCAATTTATAGAAACCTCTTAGGCTTTTATAAATATTTGATATCCACTAATCAACTGAGCATTGAACTATTTCTGGTAACATAAACAGTAGACTCAATAAAACCAATAAGGGATGGATCAATTAATATTTCCCATATATCATGGGAAAGTCAATAAAAAATTCTTGCCTTTGCAAACCTTCCTTTTTGAGCCCACCTTTGGATTTTTGATTATTTGTTTTTGCCTGTTTTGTGGCTCCTCATTATTTGTTCTCTAATTAGATGTCACAGCCATTGACGAACATTTGCAGGAGTGACTGTTCAGTTGCCAGTGCTCTTGCTATTTTTGCCTGTGGCACGCCTGACTGGCCACGCCCAACCAACAGATATCATGGGCGGATGGGCGAGGGAACCTCGGGCTATTGAACCCACTCAATGCCACTCAACTCTACCTGTCTGTGTAGTATATATCTCTCGCCTATATCGCTCGCCTTTGATCTGGAACTGGGAACTGGGAACTTGGAACTTGGTTGCCCACAATTTGTCGTCGTCGTCTGGCGCTGACATTGATTTTGATTGCAAACTTTGATGTTTGCATATGCAACTCATTAATGCAATGCCGCTTTGCAACTGCAACTTCGTCGCAGAGAAGAAACTTTTGCGCCACGCATTTAATTAAATAAGTTTTCTGTTAACAACTCCGCACCAATTTCGGGGAGGGGCGCCTGCAATATTGACATCCATTTATCAAAAACTATTAAGGCTGGCGCCATTTTATGTAAATCACTGTGCACAGTGAGTGTCATTTATATGCAATCGCCTGGCTAGCCTGGCTCGCCTGGCTCGCCTGGTTGTGTCTGGCTCTGTCAACCGGCATTAGCATCAGCATCGCCATCGTAATCATATTTCCAGTTCACTTATATAGACAACACCAAAAACAACGCAACTGTATGGTCCTCTTTGTTGTGATGCACAGAGAAAAAACTGTATATAAATATAAATTAATAGTTTAAAAGGTATTCAAGTGAAAGGTTTTAAAATAGGTTTGGGGATCACGTATCATCATGTGTTATTATTAAAGAAACCCCTACTATCAACATACATTTTTGATAGTTTTGCGTTGACATTAGAAACGTTAATTTCTCTCTGTATCCAAGTTCTTTGTTGTCAAATTACCTCCCTCTTTTTTAGCCCCCGGGTTATGTTTTTGAATAGCCGTTTTAGAAGTCAACAACAGCTTATAGTTATGACTCCGATGGCCCCGTAATTGAGTTGCAGCTGAAGAGCGGGTGGCAATGGGAGGGAGGCGCTTAGAACTTATGCAAAGCACTCCACGGCCATAAATTGCTTGGGCTTGACTTCTTCTTGCTTTGTTTAAGCCAAATTGCTTTCGACAACAGCCCAAACAATACTCAGGGGGATCGAACAAGAAGTTATCTCAACACTCCAGCATGCACTTTGTCGCCTGATTTAACACAGCTCGCATATTCATATATGGGTAAATAAATAACGAGCAGTACACTTTATGGAGGGAGAGAAGTTTTTAGTTATTTTCTGTATGCAATTGTCAAAGTCGCTTTTATTCTCGGACAAAACTGGTTTCCATGTTGTTATTTAGTTCTGTGGGCAGTCGGGGAATGGAGCGGATATTATATGGACGTAGGGGCATTGTGGAGGTCGTTGTGGAGTGGTCATCTCAATCAGTGTCAGTTCTGCGACTTAAGAGTTGTGAAGAGTTTGACAAATGATTGCTCAAGTGCCAATTTCCTTATTCGGATGGTGGTAATCCAATAGAAACTGGTGGATAATCAAGAAGACTGCGATCAGGAAGTGTAAACAAGAAGATTTGAATAGGAAATGTGGGAGTCGGATAAACACAAGTAACAATTTAGATTGGTTTTTGATTAAACACATTAACAAATAATTTCAAAGCAATGATAGTTTTTCCTTTCGTAACGCAACACAATTCCAGTCGCTGACCCACTTGCTTATTTACATTTGACCACTCAAATTACTTTTTTTTCGTGTGTTCTAATAATAGTGGGTAAAAACTCAATTACAAATTGTTAATGCAATCAACAAACCAGCAAAGCCAGACACTCCTCCCATTGAAACCCCCTCGAAATAGCAGAAAACAATTTTCATGCCTCACTGAACATTCAAACAAGCGCTTTTTGCTAAATGTTATTATTTGATCATTTTGACAAACAACGGAATTAAAAAGAAAACTTAATTATACCAATGGATCGTGGAGGGGAGTGAGCAGTATCCCCTCGAATACAAAAATAAACCGCGAAATGCATTTTCTATTTTCGGTCGAATATTTTTGGTTGGTGTAAAATGTGTTGATTATTCATTTGGGGAAATGCAGTCCCCCAATTTTCCGTCTCTGGGGTCACCCTGTTTATTATGGGCGACCACGCTCGACTGATTTATGTTCGTTTATAACAACGAAATCTGTGTTTTGTTTCCTCTGTTTGTTTTGAAGTTTTCCCAACATACACACACTGACAAACAGACAACTTGATTGGAGCCATCATTATGCAATCACTGCATGTCACTTAATAAATCTCTCACATTTCAGCGCAATTAAGTGATTTGTTTTCGTAAATGTATTTATGTATATTTTTCCCCACTTATTTTCAGGCGTCACAATGCGCGAGAAGAAGGGAGGAGCCCTGCAGAAGCTCAAGAAGAGGCTATCGCACAGCTTCGGCAGACTAAGTGAGTATTCATTAGAAATAGCTATTCCAAAGCCAAATTGTGGCTAACCAATTTTGCCTCTACTTGGTAATGTTCCCTGGAAAAACTCTCGATGGGTTGAGTCATTCTATGATTGCATTTCATGTGGGTGCAGTTTCTTTCGAACAATAGTTAGTTATGGTAATGCAATATTCTATAGATAAATTTATTTACATTATTGCATACAAAGTTGGGGCTTCGAAAACGTGTTTGATTCGAAAAGGCGGTGCAGATAATGTCAAATGTGAAGTTGAAGCTATAGCAATTCATCAGACTGTTGTTAAGTTATGCCAAGCAATATGCAATTAAATTGTAGAATTTAGCTCTGCAGTGAAAAGCGATTCATTCAATGGTTTTTATTGCACATATCAAGTTCTGTAGTATCTGTTATGAATTCAAAACATTTCCTGCCCTAAAGAGCCTAAACTTCAATCAACTTTACCCTTGGTAACTCAGTACCCACTCCATGCCGAAATTTTGCATTTAGACGAACAGAAAGCGAAGCTCTTTTATGCTGTCCTTTAGCTTTTTCTGACCGAAAGCACAATTCGCAAATAAAAAATACAAGTAGACGCAATTTTTATTTAAAAAACTTTGCTCCTGCCAGACCGCAACAGATACAAAACACAACGAGAAGGAAATAAATGCAAAACAAATTCGCATTTTCAGACGGAAACCCATCGATTTTTTGCGTTTGCGTCGGCATGGTGGGAAAAGCTTTTAATGGTCTAAAAAAGCATTTTGATAGGTTGTCAGTTTGGCTCTTTTCGCGGGGTAATTGAATGCACTCGTTCCCAGTCAAATGCAATTTGACAGACAAAAGACCCCGAACTATGCCAGAAATTGGGGGAAGTGTAAACAAATTTTGATGAATTACTTGATCGAATGTGTGTGGATTGTGGATGGTTCGATGGCTCCCCCTAATTTTTGGATTTCATAAAATTCGCCATGCATTTGTGGTGGTTATTTGGGCATGACATGGAAACCCGTATAGTTTGCACCGAGTTGACTCACTGAAAAACCCGTTTCGGTAGTTTGATTTTGCGGCATGCGGCTAATTGTCTTTCAACGCCCACGCAAACGGTTTTTTTTTTGGTTTTGTTTGGCTTTTTTTGCTGCCTCCATTTCTTGTTCCAGAAACTAGTTCGGCGAACAGCTGTTTTTCTTCCCATAATCGGAGTGGTTTTCTGTTTTGCGAGCTAGTCAAAGGCGTAGTCAAAGATACTGCGGCACCAAAACGTTAACACAGTTTGATTGCCACAGGTAAGCCCCTGAATATCTGACTAATGGTCTTGTTTGACTCAAAAACCGACCGTATGTGGCCTGAGTATTTAATTGACATTTTGTGTCGGAGTCTTTGTTTTGAAAGACCGAAAATATGGGCCTTGTATGGTTTAATATGGTGCTGGAAAAGGTTGTTCAAAGCTGAGGCAATCAATTATAAGCTTACATTCTCAGGATTATAATTATAATTCCTCTAAAATGGGAATCTCTTTAAATTTTATTTAGAACCTACAGTTCCTTAAATGATTCCCTTTCATCAATCAAACCAAAAACAATAAATTCCCTATGGCTCCAATAATTTTACCACATTTCATCTCATGTTCAGTGAGCAATTTTAGCATTCATTTCGATGAAAGATGAAATTTTTAGCGAATATTCTCCGCCACACCCAGCATGTCAGCGTTCTCTCCTCGAAGTTGCAACAGCCCCCCAACAATTGGGAAATCCTTCAAGCGGAAACAATTTCGAATGCAACTTGAGCTAGCATTGAAACAATTTCTCACGATTTTGCCATTTGGGAGCTTCTGCTTCTCCTCGGCTCATAAATGTTGCATGGCCCTCGAAGAAAAGCTAAAGAACTAGTAAAGTTGATTTTATTTCAGCTGAAGTTTAAATGTTTTCATTGCATTATTGAGGAGTTTGGCGCAGCAGCTGCTGATGCAACTAAAAAGCAGAGAAATAAAACCCAAGAATGTCACTCCAGTTGCAAGTTGCAAGTTGCAAGTTGGCTGCCAAGGCCATTGCAAAACCCACTAACAGTAGTTGCAACTCGTTGGACTTGTCGTGGCTGTTTGTCAGCGAACTGATACTCGCAGCTTAACTATCGTTAATTGCCGCACGAGCTGCCGCTGGTCTTCCCTCGTTTTTAATTACAGCCAGCTTGTGGCTGAGTTGTGCCTGCAACTCACTGTCGTTCCTTCTAAACTGCTTCATTCGACGACCATAAAAGTTATGAAGCTGCAAGACGTTGCACAAGAAATTAAGTACTTACACGCAACAAAAAAAGACTTACCTTTGTTTACTTGGAAATGTTTAATGAGGTTTTTAATATCATGTAGCACTTTGTTTGTAAGAATATAGAATACAGCTTTAGAATCGCAGAGAGGGTCGGCTTTTGTACTAGGTAAACTTTCTTTTCTTGCTGTGTATCTTGCGATTAACCAGGGAATTCAACGCGTTTCCTTTCCAGCTTTTGATGAGTGAGTTCCATAGATCAGAAGAGCACACACCGGAATCACATACACTCAACGTTTATGTGTGTTTACTTGCGGCGATCGAGAGTTCTTTGTCATCCTGCGTTTTCTGGTTCTCGTTGAGCTGCAGATAACTGGGAATGATTCATGGGAGTCGTGATTGTTGGGTTCGTGTTCTCTCAAGATGTCTATAAAGTGGTTTTACGATAAGAATGCTCGAACTATATTCTTGTTTGGGGATTATGGTTTCCTATACATAAATTAGTTTACATTCACTTTTATTCGTGTATTTGCTATGTTGTAAAAAAACTTTAACCTAATTTGTTAGTTCTTCAGAGTTCTTAGATCTGAAAGGCTTGAGTGAGAAAGAGCTACAAACTCTTCCAGACTGAAGTGAGAATCCTCGACTTACTTAACCGACAATTGTGACACTTATCCCTCCTCTCCTTATTTTTTGCCTGGGAAATAGAGGATAACTTTTCGAAACTGAAGTGAGATTCTCGAGATTGCCCGGAGCTCCTTGCTTCCTTTCGGTGTAAATATTTTATGGCGTCGAATGTCCGACTTTGACACTTGGTTGTCGGCTATATCGTGTCGCCGTCGCATCATCATCATCATCATCGCCGGCGTCTCTATTTCTTTGTGCCACTGATACAGTTCCCGGCAAAGTGTTCCACCTCTCGGCTTCTCTGCTTTTCCCCCTTTTCGCAGGCTTGTCATAATCCTTTCTGATAACATTTGTGTCACAAGCCATGGCCAAACACACTCGACGTTGTCTATGGCTTTAACCCTTGACTGGTGTCCGTCCATCTGGCCGCCAGTCGCAGCCACTTGCCAACTTTACACTTGAGCTCACTGTCGCTGCTATTTTCCGTCCTACTCAATGACAAAAAGAAGAAAAACCAAGAGGGAGGAGGAGAACGTATATAAAAGAATCAGCAGCCGAAGACGAAGCGCGATAAGCAGCTAATGGCCGCCGACTGTTGATGCTTCCTCCATCGCCGCTTTTATCTCTTCGAACTCCATACTCCCTCCCACCCTCTATATAAGGCCACTCCCCCACTTCCCCCCACTTCACGAGTCTTTTCAGTGCCCTCAGATGGGCCGAACTGGACCCTGCCCGCATATGTGCTTCTGATACAGTGATAACTGCTTTGAGTGAATCTGCAGAGCCCTTGGCGAATGATTTGCAGCGGGGGTTGAGTTGTCCTGCTGAAAAATGCGGGCTATGAGCTTTAAGTTGGAATAGGAATGATAAAGATGTGATTAAAAATCAATTAAAAAGTGGTTGAGTGGTTTACCTATAAAGAAGTATAAATAAGTGTTGGATTTGATAGCAGATTAACAGAGTTTCTTAGAATATTTCTCATGAGTTTACTGTACTTAAAGTGCACCCACTGTACCTCGCAGTCCATTCAAGTGCCACTGAGCAGATTCCGCTATCTGAACACGCATCGCTTCTCGTTTCTCGCTTCTCGTCTTGCCTTCTCATCGCCTTTCAGCATTGTATTTACGCTCTGATTTGTGAAGAGCAGAAGCGCTACAGATGCCATCGGCCCCGCCCCCAAACCCCACCGCCCACTTCCCTCCCACTAACCTTCCACCCCAACTTTTATCTGGAGATTGCGAGTACGTATGTGTGGACAAATCCGCTTTGGTGGCCCGTTTAATATGTCATGTCATTGATATGAAGCGTTCTTTCAGTTTCAGCTCGCCAGCTCACCAGCTCGCCTCGGCTTTATATTTATTTTCCGGCATGCCAGGAGATGATCTCCGCGACGGCCACACGGCGTATGAGTAATCACGCACATGACCTCTCGCTCGCTTAAGCACATTTAATGCAGTTCCCCTCCCTCTCCCACTAAATGCTGCACTATTAAGTGTGTGATATGGGAAAATACGTATACTATATGTTTCCAGCGCAAAATCCATAAACCGGAAGATTTTTTTACGCTCCCAGCGCGTTGAAAAGAAATTTATGCGGGTGTTTCTATGTTTTATTACACGAATTTCTGAGCAATTTAGTGAGGCCTCTTAAATGGAGGGTTTTCCTCGATTTTCCTGCGCTCATGTTTGTGACATTGATGAGTGGCACTGGGCAGTGAACTGTGCACGGGGTTAATGGTTAAGGGTTAAGGCGGCTGGGGAAAATTCAAACAGTTATGAAATTTAATTATGTGGTTAGCTGGCCCAAAGTTTATAAGATTTCCTGGAAGCCGAACATATTTGCTTTTAATTTGTAATTTAAATACCAATAAAACGTATAATTATTAATTCCATTACTTTAAACATGCATTTAGGCATTAAAATTCGTTAAACATGACAGCAACCAACCTTTTATGAGCACTAAAACAGGCAATCAAAAGCTGATATGTTTACAAATAAATACAGATGTTAAGCGCTTAGCAAAAAACTAAAAATCACCTAAACATTTACCTGGCAGTCCCTGAGTTGCATTACATCACTAGCTTTGTTCTACTTCTGTCAATTGTATGTGTTTATCTT